AATCTCATAAACCATTAACTATATCACACAGTTCGCAGTCCATTAAACAACGGTTTTAAATTAGCAACATATACTTCAAAAACATTGTGTGTAAAAAAATACATGCAAAGGTAAGAATCATGAAGCCACAAAGCTTAAAATTACCATATTAATCCATTTCAATGACCTAATATAATATAAAATCTGAATTTCATTACACTACTGAAATGAATATCAGACTGATAACAACTAACTGTTTATAGACATATCCAAGAGTTACTGCTTTAGGTCAGCTGTTATACATTCTCCAAACTGTCAGTTTATTCCATGTATATATTCTGTGCTTGCTGAAATATCAAACCAACAAGTGACATAATGTCAGGTTAAATGCAGACATCCACATTCAAGAATTTTAAAAGGCACATTGTATTTTTGGCCAAAAAATAGGTTTATTGGGAATAAAACTAAAGCAACTTTGAAATGTGAAGATAGCATTGAAATACAATTTTTACCTCCACACTTAGCCAGAAAGGCAGTACATTGAATAAAAGACTTTTGAAATTTAAGATTTTCCCAAATTAAATCCACTTTAGAACTTTTAGTGTAGCAGTTTCCAGCAGATAGCTTGTGTATATATTTATTCATCTAAACAATGAAATTGATTAGTATTTATAATTTTTGGGAACCTGATACTGTTATGGAATATTGGTATCAGTGCCTGCTAGGAAACAGAATTTATTTGCAATAGTGATGAATATCTGTAGCTCGGGTGTAGGATGAGGGTGAAGGTTCGTTCTCTGAGCTTGTGGGTTGATTTCCGAATGTTTCGTTACCAGGCTAGGTATCATATTCAGCGGCATTTAAGGAATGTCGGTGTCAGTGCTCTTCTATTTATAAGGACTTCAGGTGTCAAGTGAGAGTCATGTGATGACCCATCACCAGCCTCTCACCGATGACCCATCCCTGACCCACTGATAATTCACACCCTCTAACAACCCTGACCTGTAGTAACCTCCCCATCACAAGACTCTAACTCATCACAAGACCCTCACTTGACACATGCACACCTGAAGAGCACTAACACAGACATCCCCTAAATGCCGCTGAAGATGTTACCTAGCCTGGTAACAAAATGTTCGGAAACCAACCCACAAGCTTGGAGAACAAACCTTCACCCCCACACAGTATTTTTCTAAAGTATAATCAAACATTTTATGCCTTTTCGGATTCAAATTCAGTTAAGATTTAACTATTTATTGGGAATTTGGAAAGCCTAAAATTATAGTTTGGTAACTACTATAAGAAAGCTTACATAAAGTATCTAATTGCATTAGGCTAGTGAAAATTCTGTATGAATTGATATTATCAGGAAGGTAGGAATCACAGTGAAATCACCGTATTAACATGCATTTTCCTGTCCTTAAGATTCATTCAATTTCTGCATCTAGCCTAGGTCTGTCCCTTAAATAATTCTGCAAGAACTTGTATGTGTGTTTATACATAAAACCTGTTGTTAGCATTAGTGACTTACATTTATTTTGATCTTTGTTTCTACCCTTGCTTATTCAGTTTCAAAAAATTTTCAATGACAAAACCGGAAGGAAGAACACTGCTAATAGAACAAAAGAAAATACTGTTCTTTATACCTTTATGCTCAACTGACAAATTAGACTGTGGTGAAATAATTTTCCCTAGTGGGGTCTATAGACCTTACATGGATATCATAATATCGAGTAATTGCTTTATTCCAATTAATTCATGTGTGTGTATGCATGTAGGAAGTGTTGAAAGAATTTTAAATATTATATTGTAGTGTTTTAATCAACATTTGTTAATTTAATGCAACATTCCAACTATTTGCTACACGTCTGTAGACATTTTCCTCGCATCTCCATGAATTTGCTTCTTGTGGTAGATTCTATTTTATTTCCTAGATATTGTATGATGATTTTTCCCCGAGTGAAAAAAACAATGGCAAGCTTATGGAACTCTTTATTCTTCATATTTCTATTTACTTTGTACTCTTTACCTTGTCCTTATTTTTCATTAAACTGCATATTATTGACACAAGTTTCTGAATTACAGATTTTAGTATTTCCTTATTATAATTTTCTAATAATTAGTAACTAGAAGAAATATATGATGTTCATTCTCATGGTATAGGTCAGCCCACCTTAAGTATTAAAAAAAAAAGGAATACTGAAGGATGTCACCCATTATGAAATGTGGAGGATAGGAATCTGCCAACAGACCTTCTTCTTGGTGGTCCCCCTAGATTCCAAATATTTGGCCTCCTATGGTGAGGAATGTCCCATTATTTCCTAGGTGACTACTAAATTTGTAGGACATTTACCCTATTTGGTGATAGGGCAGTTTTTAGTTTGACAGAGATTCTGTGAAGTGTATTTTGCTGTTCATTTATTATAAACATCTTTGAGTCTTAGGCAATAAGCAATATATCAACTTATTATATGTAATAAACAAAAACCATTAATAGAGTTATTATGTAATAAACGAAAACCATTAATAGAGTTATTCTCCATGAATTGTAACTTCCTTTTGGTAGCTGTTATTAAAACTCATGATGCAAAGAAGCTGTTGTTTTCATCGATCGTGAATCGTCCAGAATGCAGCTTCAGTTAATGATCCCATGTTTTATTCTACTTATCGAGAGAAAAAGCATTCTACATACCAATTTTCTAATCATGTGAAATTTCCTGTCCCTTTGCTTGCTGCCCCTTTTCTAATCCAAAAAGCCCCCAAGTTCCAAGTATCATAGTGCAGCAATGATAGTGCACTCTATTGATTATTTTGCCTTTTTGCAATTTTCTCTATAATAGCTCAGTATTTTAAAATAACTATTCTAGATCTGGTTAAATGTGTAATGAAAACTGTTTTATTTCCATTTCTACTTACCTCCAAAATATTTGTTCTTTGCACAGAAGCTGCAGACTGCTTTGTTTTTCATTGACCTACCAGTTTTGCTTCCAATATTTCTTTCTTATTCATTACCAATTGCATTACCAATTATGAAATTAGCCCTTTTTTTGTAGTAACACACATCACTTTGCAATGACTAATACTGAACCATATTTGCCCTGTCAATATCCTACCTTTCCAGTTTATAGACATATTTTTGGTGCTTTTGGTTAAGTTTTTTTTGTTTTTGTTCTAATTGCCTAAAAGCAGAGTCCTTATTGTTCAGTCCATGTGTGTGTAGTTCTTGCAGTAACATATTCAATACCTTATTTACTTTTACTTACTGTAGGCTGCTTATATTTATAAAATCGAACTGTTGCTACAATTCCTTCAAAACATGGAATCAAAAATGTTTTTCAATAGATTCTAACAACCAGGGAAATTAGGATTTTGCTGGAAATCTGAAAAGTCAATTCAAAATTTGTATGTTTATCCTATCACACAGGTGGATAAATGCTTTCGTAAAGCTACATTCAATCCATATTTGGGAATATTGCAGTATTAAATCATTAGTAGAAAGACTTTTTAACATGAAAAAAACACATTTTATTGCACTTAATTTATAAGAAAATAAAATTTCTAAGTGAATCAAATCATAGACACAATCCCTTTAAAAGTTTTTCCTCCATCCTGTCAGGTTGTTACATATCTAAAATTAACAAACTGAAATCTGATTTCTTTAAAAGAAACAGACTATAAATAAACCAAAAAAGGAGGGGAAAAAAAGATCAGCTAGGATACAGTGTTAAACCACTTTCACAGTTCAACTTGAGTTGTGGCTCTTGGAGAATGAGGCAAATCAATTTGACAATTGCATTCTTTTTTTATATGACAACTTTAACAGAAAAACTGAAGCATTTTTGCTTTGTCAGTTACTCACCCAACTGTAACAGCTATTCTCAAATTTTGTAAAACACTACAACCGACTAGCAATTTTGTTTTCACTTTTGAATTATTTTTTAAATATATTGTCAGTTTCGTGTCTGTTTATTCCATTCACCACAGCCCTCACAAAGAAACTTCCCCACAGAACAGGCTGCAAGAGCTTTGTTCTAAGGAATGTATTTTAATTTTTGCCCAGAAAAAAAGAGAAAAAAAAAGAAAAAAGAAAATAAGCGTTGCACACACACTCTCTTTACTTGCAAGCAAACTTCACTCTACATTGTCTGAAACTTTTCCATTCACAGCCTCTTAGAGGCACAGTTGGCTCAAGTTTCAGTGGCAAAAAAGTCTCTTCTCTGTAACCAAACTAGAGCAAATTTGGAATTCAGTCTGGGACTAAAACGTCACAGCAGAAAAAAAATAAAAATATTTTTTTTTCCTTTCATTTAGCAGCATAAATAAGTTTGGCCACTGGGAATACAGTACAGGGCTGGGACAACAATCCCATAATTGAAGACCTACTTCTAGCACCAGCATCATATATTAAATCCATCTGAGAAATCTTCAAATCCAGGACAATTTGCCACCTCAGAGTAACTTATGCACTGAAGAACGTAGATGGAGGCAAGAGTAAAAGAGATCAACGAAGACTAATACTGTGATTGACATTGGCAATGGTTGGCAAAAAAAAAAAAAAAAAAGCTGTAAAACTGTACAAAACAATTCACAGTAAGTTTAGCTTTTCCATACACAAAGGACTCTGCTTTCCCAGATGCTGTCTTGTTTGAAAGACAATAACTGATAATGGAGATATGAATCTCCTTTCTAGAATAAGGTAGAGTAAAAGAACAGGATTAACAAGAATTGTAACAACTTCTACATCTCAACAAAGCTCAGTGAGCATTGAGAGGAAAACAGAAAAGAAAAAAAATTGCACCTGGCTTGATACAGAAAGTCACATTTTGCAAAGCTGGCCCTTTCCAAGGTGAAGTCTTTGATGTAAAGAGAAAAGCAAATGCCTCTTTTGTCAGTTACAGTTTTCAATTGTGTGTCTTCTCTTTTGTAGCCTGTAGGTCTTTAGGATCTGTTGCCCCAAGCCAACATCCTGCACCACCAAGGACAAGGGTTTTGTTTTTTTTCCTTTTTGTAGAGGGGGGGGGGGAGAAAGGACAAGAACATCATTTGCATTTCTGGACAAAATAATTTTTTCAAGCTTCACTTTATATCCACATCGAAGTCCAATACCAGCAGCTTGGTTTCCTCAGTCCCATTCCGGCTTCCAACTGCACACACTAGCTTTGTGTTGGAGGCTCTGATCCGCCATACAACACCTCCACTTCCTCCACTTTCCAATGTAACTAGATTTCGGATAAATTCACCCGTTTTTAAGTCCCACAGTTTTACAGTCCCATCATCTGAGCTGGTAATTACAAAGTTCTTGTTGAACTGTAAACAGGTCACAGCACTCTGATGCTTGTTGGGACCTAAAGCAAATAATAATTCAAAATTAAATTAGCAAAAAAAGTAACATCAGGGTCTACTAAACTAGCCCCGCAAACATTATACCGTATTTCTCTATAAAGGTAAAGGTTTCTCTTGCCCCGTCATATCTGACTCGGGGGGGGGGAGGGTTCCTCATGTCTGTTTCTTAGATGAGGGAGGGAGATTAAATGAGCTAAAACCCAGGTGGAGGTGAGTTCTTTCTCCTAGTCCGCTAATGACCTCCAGCGTGGAATACCATCAGAGAATTTATTAAATTATAATTTATGTGGTACTAATTTTATAGTACTTGCACTGGTTTTACATTTAACTATTTTCTTTGGTTAAAATAAGGACATTTGAAGATTTTTGTTTCAAAAAAGGCAAAATTTATTTATTGCTGATACATTTATCTTTAGATTTTTCTCTGTATTAGGATACTGGGATTATTTTAGACTGGTGAAACGATGATCTGATAATAGAGGGGATATATGAATGTATATTTGGAGATAAGATGTTATTTGGAGTAGTGTGCACTAGAATTTATCTTTTGTAAAGGGGTAATGGTTCCTTTTTGTAAAGTTAAGCTTGTTTTTTTATTTTGTTTATAGCATGATGTTGGGATAATTTCATGACTTTTAAATGGATTTTGTTATAATTAAGAGGTGAGTTGCGGAATGTTCAGTTTTATATATGTTAATTAATGTTAAAATGTTAAAATGGATATCTGAATGGATATTTTTGCTGATAGCTGAATTGAAGATGTTACTTATCTGATCTGCTATTAAGAAATGGGTAATGGGATGAAGAGTTTTATATTAGCTAAGAGAAGGTAAGGAGATTAGAGAATTGTTTACATTTGCCACAAAGCAGAAGTTGTTTTCTTAGGGGAGGAAAATAATTTCTTTATACATTTATTTTTCCTGCAATTCTCTCCCCCCCCTCCAGCTTCTATTATCTTTAATTCATTTATTCAAAGCTTTAATAAAATTATTTGGAAAAAATATTGTATAGGTTTTGTTTTGGTCTTATTCTATAAGAAACTCACATCAGACTGAATATAATTAATTGTATTTAATTGTTGCTGCAGCATTAAAATTTTGCTAAGCCACCAAAGATACTTTCCTTGGAAATTTTATTCTATTATTTAAAAATGCAGTTCCTGCAGATTTTATTTATGAGGGGGGAGTATAAAAATTCAAAAAATTGAAATATGTTGTCTCAGATTATTTTCCTCACAGAATGCTTTAGTATAGATATCAGTCATTTTAGTTGAGAGGCCAGCAATTTTTCCTGTTCCCAAAATCTGCTTAAAATTCTTTAATGAATGTTCAATTTCAGAGGCATACAAATAGCCAAGGGTCAGGTTGGCAGACCTAAAACTACTGTATAGTTCTGTGGTAGGAATTCTTATATAAATATTCACAGTTTGTTTAACCTTGCTTTCCAAATTATGCAATACGATTTTTCCTTCCATGAAGCGTATACCCTTATAAAAGCTTTGAAAGCATTAAACAAAATCCTTGGATTGTTTTGACCATTTGAAGAAAAATATCTCAAACCACAAAATCCATCTTGATGATTTAATAATGAAGCATTAAAATACTTTAAGCAATCTGAACATTTATTTCTAAACCATTTCATATGTACATGTATATAGATTAGTATTGAAACACTTCATGAGTTACACGTGGCTGTGAAATTTTACCTTGTAATGTCTGTAAACACTGTCCTGTTTTGATATCCCAGATTTTGACGGTGGAATCTGCATTCCCAGACACAAGAATGTTGTCTTTGAGTTCCATTCCGCTTGTTAATGACTGGTGACCTGTTAATGTGTGAATGCAATTTCCTGTTTCCACATCCCAAACTCGGATTGAAGTGTCAAGAGATCCACTCACCACATGGATACCATCAAACTATGAGAAAAGAAGTTTACATATATCAACGTATTTATATTTTCCCCAAATTGTGATTATTCTTAGTTGCCTAATTCATTTCACAGTTTTATCTCTTCAGAATAAGTTGATACAATCTGTGAATAGTCTGATATTACCAAGTTCAATACATATTAAAGAGAATGTATGCCATCCCAAAGTTACCAAAATTATTTTTTTTTTTTGCTAAGGATAAGTATTTTGCTTCAGGAAACTACTTCCTACTCATTTGGAACAAGAAGTCAATTTTGTGACATGGAGTAACTTTTCATCATAAAAATAATTTGGAGCATATGTGCCTCCATTATTTATAGGAGGAGGTGAAACCTGGAACAATGTTATCATTGTGAAAATTATTCCCATATATTTAAGTTTAATATGATTTAAACAAGGTGCAAGACTTATTTTCTAATATCTACTAACAGGCTGAAAACCATTCCTGCTCACCTATAAATTCTATGTTGGAAAGGCATACTACAATATAGGCCACATTAATGCATATTTTCTTTCATTCCTATGTCATATTTAGATTTCAAAAAGCATTCAAATTGGAAGCATTTGTCCTTTTTATAAAAGAAAGCTAGTAGATATGGGTTACTAATGATAAAACAAACTATATTCTCAACTATATTTAACTAAAAATGACAATGATTAGCTGAATTAAAAGTCAACACAATTTAAAATTCTCTATTATTATAAGGTTAGAATTTGAACATAAATATTTTTGAAGCCATTCTGGCTACATGTTTTACTTATAACAAATATTCTATATTCCTAATGGACAAATGAATGGAATGGCCTTTTTCTTAAAAATATACCTTTTTCACTAAATTGCTAAGTCATATTGCAACAGAGAAATTTTAACAAGGTGTACTTTTATTTAGAAAGTTCCCTCTTTCTGTCAGAGAAAACATCCTTAGATACACACTATGTCAGCCTTTTAGTAGTCTGACTAAAAGCATCAAGAAAATTTGGTCATGACTAGCATATCCCAGTGATTTGCAAGGATTAGTTTAAACCTGACAGTCTGGATCCAATCCACTCAATCAATACAAATATAAAATGTTAAATTTTATTATGACATATAGCCTTTCAAGAATGCCTAATAATTGGAAGATTGCGTAATAATTTTAAGATTGTTCCTTTAATATTAAGAAGTACATTTGCAAGTAAACAGATTTAAATACATGCTATAAAACCAAATTAAAAATTTTTTTGTCCTTCCCAAAAGCTGGATTTACACATTTATTATTCTATAACCAAAGTATCTTACACATTTATAAAGCTTGTTTTTAAAAAGTTCAAATGTTTCACTATTGCACAATACAGTTTATTTCTTTCCTCTCTATACGTTATCAACTCTGGGTAACTTTTGAAAATGTTTTCTCTTAGTTAATGAGAAAAATTATAACCCCTTATTTTTAGTCTCCACTGCAAAAGGAGATGGGTGAGACACATACCAAAATTAACCATTTCAACAGTATGATAAGAGAACTGGAAGTTGGAAAATGGAAATTGTGCATTGCATGTAGACAATGAGTGCCTAACCCTGACATGTGCACATTAATGTGCACATCTGCATGAATGTATATGACAGAATGCCAGGTGGCTTGCCCCTTTTGGAATTGTCCTAGTGCTACCATATTTCACATGTTTTATTATTCTACTGGCCTCTTTTTTTAATTTAAAACAAGCAATTAACTTGGACCAAGCAATTTACCAGACACGTGATAAATGGGAACACATACAGTCATAGCAAATATCCTTTATAGCATGAATTAAAACGACTAATTTGTCACTTCTAAAACATACCAAAAAGAGAAAAAGAAAACAAGCTCATTTCTTTTAAGATGCTTATAGTTATCAAAAGCTATATCTGGCAATGAATATGTGATTCTAATCTGTATTATAAATGAAAAACATGTTTATTTTATTATCAAATCCTTTCATCCATAATAAGTAAGATTAAAAGTTGTTTCAAACCCCGCAAGGTACACTGTCATCATGTAGTGGACTTTATATCTGATCTCTATTAGACAGAATCTAGTAATTGTTACAGAATCTAATATGGTAGTTACTTGTACCAACAGTTTGCACACCTCTTCATTTACTAATGATACACATGCCATTCTTTGTAAGCAACCTCTATTATGCTTTGCACTGTATAAATTGATCCATGTCTATGCAAAAGAATAGCCAGATTCAAATCTAGCACTGAAATGTTCACAGCAAAGAAAAGGGGGGCATAGTAAGTCTTCTTCTCCTTAGGACAACCCATCCCTGACATCCCTGCGTAGCCTTAAGCAAGCAAACAAGATTTCACTCCCAAACGTCTAAGCTATACTTCATTAAGAGATTCAGAGTTTTCTTATAAATTAGACAGTACAGATTTGTACATGTTAATTAGCTCAGCATAATAATGCCAGTGTCATATCTAATAACTACTTTGTGATATTACAGTCAATATTACAATCACTGACAACATGTTCTATATTTCACTCTCAAACTTCACACGGTCCACAGATGGATGTGCAAATATGTGCATGCGCACACACACACACACACACACACACACACACGGGTATACAGATACATCCCTATCTAAGAAGTTATTCTGATAAAGCCATTTGTGGTCCAAAGACGCTTGCATGATAATAATTTTGCTAGTGTTTACGATATTAGAAAACTCTCTACAACAGTGGTTCTCAACCTTTTTAATGCCGCGACCCCCAACCGGTCGTAAGTCGAGGACTAAACCGGTCGTAAGTCGAGGACTAAACCGGTCATAAGTCGAGGACTACCCAACCGGTTGTAAGTCGAGGACTTTCCCTGCCCGGGAGCGCCACACATGCGTGGTTCTGCCCCCTGCGCCAGCCGAGGCGTAGCTGGCAAGCGGCAGAGACAGAGCAGGCCAACCACCAGCTGGCCCAGCTCAAGGGAGGTAAGGCACCCGCCGGAAAAGGGGGAAAAAATGGCGGACAGCCTTGCTTGGCGACCCCCATGAAATGGTCGATCGACCCCAAATGGGGTCGCGACCCATAGGTTGAGAACCGCTGCTCTACAATATATGTAGAAATGCTGATGACGTTCTATTATTAAACTGGCTTTCAATGAAGCCTGAATTAGTGGTTATGGACAGCATGCTATGACAAAAGTTTAATTGTTAAAAAATGTGACTTCAAAAACTATAAATCAGACTCTCTAATCTTCACAATACAATTGAAAAATAACAAAAAAATTAACCACTGTTAAAATAATTTCATGCTTCGTTGCTTTTTGTACCATGTACAGTAGACATGAATCCAATAAATGAAATATGCAAAAAATCTCTTCTATTAAATTGGTTTAAAAATTCATCTCAGTTTAAAACAGTTAAATTTGATTAAATGAAGCAAACAAATCAATAAACTTTCTATTTTACAAGAAACTATATGTTTAAGTATGTGCACGAAAAATAATACAATTAAAGTAAAGCTGTTATAACTTTAATATAACTGTTTTGCAAAGCACTTTCTTTAAACACAAGTTCCACTATTACATGGTTCTTATAATTTATTTCTTGTAATGACAAAAATATCTTTGACACTCTAAGAAATGCTTTAAATTTAAATAGACATTTATTGTCATTAACAGTTTTAATAACCCATTCAATTAAAAGTACCATTCATTTTTCCCATTTAGAAGCTATATTTAAAACCTGCAGAGTCCCTCTAAAATCTTTTACCCAATTTATTAGTAACTTATTAGAAAAATTCTTTACAGATCTTTCTGTAACACAAGAGAACACCATAATAATACATAATAAATGTCCCTATTCATTCTCAATGGTTATTATTAATTGCATAAATCAAATTATTCAATTTTAAAAGATATGCATTAAATTTAGCTCTTTGAGCTAAATTTAAGAAACTCATCTCAAATATATGGATGTGTAGTCAGATGATCTGGCCTGAATTCTTATAAGACAAATGGCTATGCTCTGATTTTTAATGTCATAATGTAACACAAAAGATTAGATGAATAGGGAAAGGAAGAAAAAGGGAAATACAGAATGCAGAGACTAAATGATTTGATCTCATTAGTTGTCAATACTGTACTGGTTGCTCAGCAAATATTTAGGCACCAGTTAATTACTCTTGTTGAATACTGAAGGCACTTAGTACAAAACGCTTACCTGTAATGAATAGACTCTATTAGTATGCCCTTGCAAGGTGTGTAGACAGGTTTCAGTTTCTGGATCCCAAACTTTGACCATGAAATCATAAGCTCCACTAACAACCCTCCTGCCATCATACTGTACACATCGGACTGCAGCTACATGACCCATCAGAACATGTAAACACTGGCCTGTTTCTATGTCCCAAACTCTCAGGGTGGCATCTCGAGACCCACTGACAACTCTAGGAAGTGGAAAAATAAAAATAATGTGGCTGTTTTAGCAGTATTTAGTCCAGATTAAGCAGGCGGTATGTTTAAGCAGACATTTAAATCAACCCAACTTATAGATAGGATGATAAAAACTATTTAACTGAAATATTACAACTAATTTTTAGGCTGGAAAAAAAAAATATTTGCAGTAAGTTCTGGGATTTCAGAAATAAATTGTCTTCATCAGGAGATATGGAATTTAGTAACAAATTAAAATATAAAGACTCAGATTAAGACTCTTAAAATGTGTCCTCTAAAAATCTTTATACCGGTAGTTCTCGACTTATGACCACAATTGAGCCCAAAATTTAGGTTGCTAAGCAAGACAATTATTAAGTGAGTTTTGCCCCATTTATGACTTTTCTTGCCACAGTTGTTAAGTGAATTACTGTAGTTGTTAAATTAGTAACATAGTTGTTAAGTGAAACTGGCTTCCCCACTGACTTTGCTTGTCAGAAGGTCACAAAAGGTGATCAAAAGGCCCCTGGGACACTGCAATAGTCATAAATATGAGCAAGTTGCCAAGCATCTGAATGTTGATCATGTGACCATGGGGATGCTACAAAAGTCATGTGTGAAAAACAGTCATAAGTCACTTTTTCAGTATTGTTGAAACTTTGAATAGTCATTAAACAATTAGTTCTAAGTCGAGGACTACCTGTATTTTTCTTCTCTTTAATATCACACTATTTTACTTTATTGGAACACCTGATTACAAAATATTCATATTGATCATGATCCCAGGTTTAAACTACCTGCATGCGTCATACCTTTTAATAATGAACTGAAAGTAGCTGCTTTTGAATATTGTTCTGCCTTATATTTTAATATCTTGACTTAGAAACTATAACTGTCTACCTTCTTTGCAAGAAAATGTGCAAAGTACTTAGTACAAATAGATATTACAGTAGAATAAAAGAAAACAGCAGGAAGAGGCTTTATATTGAATAATTAAATTGAGTGGTATTCTATCTCATCTTTTTGTATTCTTTTTTGCATCCTCCTTTTTCTTAGGAAACTTTTTGTTTTTGATTTTCCTGCATTTGTACATAAATGAAAGAATAAAATTTATAATGCATAATAGTTTATTTATATTTACAAGTTGTCTAATATTTTTCTATTAAATATAAAACTTCAGTATAACAAAGTTATATACAGTACATTAAAAATACTACTTAAATATCAGAGTATGTTTGTTACATTTCAAACAAAGTATGCAAGATAAATGCTTACCTTTTTTCATGGAGATGCATGCAACGCACAGTTGAGGTATGCCCATATAATGTATGTATACATTCTCCAGTCTCTGCATTCCACACTTTGAGAGTCCGATCTGTAGATCCACTGATGATTATATTGTCCCTCATCTGTGAAGACCAAACTCCACCTGTATGTCCAACAAGTGTTCTTAAACACTGAAAATAGACAATTAATCTGGTTATTATTTAGACAAAGTCGACAAAAGACAGATGAAGTAGTATATTATTATTGCACATAGTAATATTCTGCATTCTTCAGGCTGATACCTGAAATAGGGAACTCAGTTACGTGGTAACATCAATGCAATAATTTTCTAGTGCCCTCACTGGCCTTCTTCAATTGTCCTATTATATACAAATGGATTACTGGAACTGTACCAGCAAGTTAACCATGAGGCATTCAAATACATACTTGATTTGAATCTGACATAGGAACAGCATAAAGCTGTATGTTATTGCAATATGTGCAAGAAAAAAACAGCTTGCTTTTTCATGTTACTTTATCTTCAAACTCTGTTTTTTGTTGTTGTCAGGACTAATTTGTATCCCTGGAGGAGGGGCTCATGAACCCATGGGTTGCTCACCTGTTGGAAGCGTTCATAATTCTAGGAAAATAAGAGTAGAATTACAGTAGTTTCTATACTTATACTACAGATCTACAGTATATCATACTACTAAGAGGGGTTGATATATTAATTTGAACCAGCAATTGAGGAGATAATTTTATGCACAAATTCCATATGGATTATCTTAAATTACAGAGAGAGAGAGAGAGAGAGGGAGAGGGGGAGAGAGGGGGAGAGAGAACTAGAGATATACAGACAGCATTACTTGAAAATAGCTTTTAAATTTTTTTGCTTGAATAATTCTAAAAGATTCATAATCTTTATAAACTGCAACTCATACAACATTTTGGCCAGTGACCTAATTTTAAAAGTTAAAGTGTGGCTGGTATATACAGTATTTGCCCTTTGCCTTGGTTAGGACAATATTCTGAATGGCCCTATTGCTTCTTTGGACAATTTCTGCTACTAATTTTAGTTATGCTAGAAATATGAAAGGCAATTTAATTGAAATTGGAAAGTGCACAGTATTTTAAATATAATGGTTTTCAAATAGGTATTTCCCAGACTGTAATAAATGAAATGGGTTAAAATCTAGTAATACTGAATTTGGTTTCGCTTAGTAGCTTAAAGGCCACCCTAGAGATAGTCTTAATTCTAGTGAACAGTGCTAAATGAATTAGATACATCATCTTCTGAACAGGAAACACACAAATTATTCTAAATAAACATATATTTATTTAAGTATTATTTCAATTAAATTAAATACCACATTCTTTCTGTAACATTGCATTTTTTCTGTTTATGCACTACAATTATGTTAAATCATTTAGGGTGGGGGGGACAGGGTATCAGCTATGTGGGAATACGAGAACGGCTAACATGCTGCCAATGACAATACTGGATTCACATAAAAGAATAGTACATATATAGTACAATATATGATGTTGATCTCCACTTCCAAGATTATAGTGATCAAAAAACACTGCTCAAGTAGTTCACAGTTTTGCATAATAAATTATGGATTATGGACCTTACATTATGGACCTTACAACCCCAGGCTTTGGGTTTTGTTCCCCATCTTGCATGATTGCCTGCTCTGTTATAAAGCAGAATACCACATTCCTATATATTAATAAGGGAACTCTGGTTTAAAATGGGAGTGAAGTGAATAGAAAAGTGCAGAGAAAAAATAGAACTATGCATTATGAATACCAGATTGAGCTACAGAAAACATGTTTGACAAAGCAAGGAACATATTTAAGATGATCTTTATTAAAATGCAGTAAACATATTTATTTACCTTTCCTGTAACTGCTGACCAAACTTTTAATGTATTATCATCAGAACCACTGACTATTCGGTTACCACAGAACTGTAGACATGTGATTACATGATCATCATGACCTTTGAGCACCTAGCAATATAAAAAAAACACACACACATATCAGACAAAAATAGAATTGATTATACCATTACAATAAAAATGGTAGTTCTTATTGTTTTTAATTAGGATATATTTCTCCTAATATTACAAAACATGTTTTTATTTACATGTTTTTTCAGCTGTTTAGTCCAGCTTACCTATGTGAACAAGTAGCAATCAACTCATAGCAATATTGTAATGTATAACATGATTTATCTTTCCATGCTTCCTTCTAGTACCATTTTGCTACTATTAATTGTGACTCCATTTTGTGCGTGCTTTTTCATACATACAGACTGTTTCAAATGGGCAACATTACAAATTCAGCTGAGTCTCTGTTGACTTTTTAACTAACCTGATATTTGGATTTCATTACTCATTGGATTGGAAAAGAAGAAAAAAGAGGCAATCCCATTGTGAAATTAGACAAAAAGATTTGGCTCAAAAAGCATTCTCCACTGTTCATTGGTGAAAAAATTTACATGCTTTTTTCCATAAAAATTAAAACGGCATTCACAAGGTCTATGTAAACTTCCATATGATCACATTTGCATATGCAAGTTCCTTACTAGTTCTTCCTTTAGAGGAACTAATAGATCTAAAGTTGCTTAATTTTATAGGACTGAATTATATGCCTGCAGACAATGTTGTGATTTAACATAGATTAAAGAATGCTATTTTTCCTTTCTGATAAGCCCCAGTAACATCCCTCAAAGATTTCTGTATCTTAATCACCCATTTTGAAGACAAATCTCTTATATTATGGCTTTTGAAAATATTGTAATAAAATAATGCCTAACTGAATTTCTCTCCACTAAGATTATAGCAACAGTTTTCATTGTGTCCTACAGTTATGGGCTAATCTGGGTCTTAGAAACAAATAAATTTAACTGAAAAGGCCACAAAATTAACGTCTATAGCAATTATTTACACAGCAGAATATTTGGCAGTATGATTATTCTATTAGTACAATCTGGCAATATTAAATTTACTGTTCATTTTCATCTTTATGACATGTTAAGGTAGGACACGTATATATTCCTAGAAGATTCTTGCAGCAATCTGTTGAGGTTTGAAAACAACTGGAGATTTTGCTTTTCAATCTAACTTTGTTAAATATTTTCCTAGTTCGAATTATTTAGTACCGGTACTTAAACTTTGAGATATCATTACCAAAATTCAAGTTCCATAATAGTATTAACCACAATACTATTGATTAAATAGCATATATTTACAGTCATACCCAATTTTGTTAATACACATTGAACTGCAGGTATAACTTAAGTTGATGCCTTAGCATATTAAAGGAGCACCTTTAACTGTTTGCATAGTACACAAAAGGGTAACACCATTACAGCTGATTATTTTATTGTTATATCTTGCATGCTATAATTTGCCTTATTTTTAGAAATATTTGGTAAGACCCTGATAATTGTAGAAATACTTTAAAAAGCAAGTATCTCTTAATGTTGGATATTATACCTGTTAGGGAGCCTCTGGAAGAGAGGCAAATAAGGTATAAAGAAGCTTCCATTATTCAAAAAAATTGATGTGCCCTGAGCAGTTTTACCTATTATAATTTCTAACTTGAATTTCTCAATAAGTAACATTAAAAACTGAACACAGCTCACTTTTAAATTCAATTTTTGTTGACTGCGAAAATTAACATATAAATGGAAGCATTTATACTTTTTGTATATGATACGCTAAATTGCATGTATGCATTAAAATGGATATAACTGTCAGCATATCAAGAAGTAAGAAACTTGTTTTGAGCTGTAATACTTATAACATGTGAGCGAAAAAGATAATAATACAAAATATTGAAGCTGAACTTTTTGCAAATTATTTGAACGTTAGATTCTTAAATATTAAAAATAATCAGAACAGACCAATACTAAGATGTGATTTTACGATATTCATAATATAATAGTCTCTTCAAGAATGGTTGGTTACCTTAGGAGATTTAAGTTCACCTCGCCGCCAGTTAGTATCAATTCTGTGCTGTCTGATGTAAGCACTTTTCCATGGGCTATGAATAAAGCCTGGCTTTATTACTTTTCTCCTCTTGATATGTAAAGGCTCATCAATTCCTATATATTTTAAACAAACCCAAAATGATGTTAGTTGCATGTTTCATTACCCTCCCTTTCCAAAATGATAAACTATTGCCAATTGTGTAACAGTCTTAGTGACGTCTCACCTGTTTGTCATGCAACTCAAAACTATTCTATCTTCCATCCAATTTATCATAAAGCCTTATACTAGAACCCCTATTTACCTCTGTTATTTCAAATATCTCATTTACACTTTTTTAATGAAATATTTACTATTCTGTTCCTCATTTTCAAGCTTTATATATGATCTGGAGGAACATGAGGGCACATCTCTTTCGGTTTTTTGAATCTACAAACAAAAGGTTCAGCAGCATTCAGTTGAATTCTACTATTCCAGCCTTGAATACCAGAATTCATATTTATTGGCTTGTTTGATTTAACAAAGCAAGTTAACATATATTTGGAACTGGTTTTTTGATGAAATATAAACATTCAAAATAATGATCTTTCCATAACCAAAGGCATTTTTTCAATGAATCTCAGAACTTAAAAAATTTAACCTTACCTTCTTCTCTGCACTTCTCTCTCCATAGAAGATTGTCTTCTGCCAGAATTCTCCAGTATCGACATGTTTGTGCTGCCTGCAGCAAGTCCTTGGGATCCAGGAAAGAAAGCACATATAGAGCCAGCTACAAAAATTTTAAAAAAAGTGGAAGTTGAAACTCATTGAAATAATTAGGTAATTTACTATGCCTTATATATTCACTTATATAATCAAGAAAGAGTGATTATAACAAACAACATGCATAATACCTATATCTTGCCGACTTCTCCAAAATCCCAAGAAACATCCTTGAATTTGAGAGGTTTCTACAAATACTATCTACTACTACTATTGATGTGGAGTCCTTGGTACTCTCTGTTTGCTTGCGGATGTTTCATTACCTTGCTGGGTAACATCATCAATATGAGTGTGTATGGGGTTTGCGCCTGGATTAATATTCAGTAGCTTGCCCTACCAGTTTTGGTGAGAATGTGGTTTTGTCATTGGTAGTTCTTTGATTAGAGTATTGTTTTCTGCTTGATTGTTTCTCTGATGGAAATTCCAACTTATCTGGTGTTATCTGTTGTAGGGGATATGTTCTGATCTTTTGTTTCCTTCTTAGTTTTTGTATTGTCTTGTTTGAGTATGGTTTATTTCTATGTGTGTACTTATGGCTGATTTGTCTGAATGCTAAGCTTTCAGGAATTCTCTAGTGTTTTTGGATTTAGATTGATCTAGGACACTCACGAACCAGCTTGCTCATGAGCCAAATTATAGCCAGTAGCCTATAAACCAGGAGATCCGCATTAGACACAAACCAGCTAGATAATCTTGGGCTCAGTTAGAATTCTTTGCAGTCTTAGCAGCAGTATTAAACACCACAGGAATTACCATAGAGATCCAAGAAAACATAAGGCAAACAATCATACCACAGATCAGAAGAATTCTGAAGCAGAGCCAATTCAAAGCAGAGGATAGAGCAACCCTCAAAAACCTGAAGAAGGACCAAACCATCACCAAACATTCCAGAAAACAAAGGCCAACTATGATTATCATGGACAGAATGCATACAAAAATCCAAAGAATTACTGAAAGACAAAGAAACCTACATCTCAGTAAATACCAACCCAACACTACACAACCCAATTAAGAGAAGCCTCAACAACCTAACCAAGAAAAGTCAAATAAAAAAAGAACAGTGGTGGATGAAAAGCAGTGGACTCATCCTGCCACTCTTCTATGGACATCCAAAAATACACAAGCTGACATATTTCTTTGTCTAATTATATTATTACGAGGGATCCCAACATACAACATTGCCAAAGAACTTACAAACAAGTTTGGATATCTTATATTGGGAAGTGATAGTTTCAACTCTCCATTATAGTGCCTCCAGAAAATCAAAGAGCTAAAAGTAGACGCTCATGAAATTATAGTTTCAACATCATAGCATTTATATGTCCATAGATCCAGAACTAATGGCAGCAGCACTATACAACATGCACAACCTAACCAAATACACTAAGATCAAAATACCTAGAAATCATGGATCTCATAAAAATCTGCCCAACTACCTACTTTCATTTTGATAAAGAAATATATTAACAAATCAGAGGAACACCCATTGGATCGCACATTCAGGACTCATAACAGAGATTATAATTCAGTGTCTCAAAACTATAGCAATTCCACACATATAGCCAAAACTGTGGAACTGATATATAAACGCCACCTTCATCATAATAAAAAGAAACAACTAGAGAAGATACACAATCAACATCTTCAAAGTAATAAATTTAACAAGGGAAGAGGAAAATATCAGGACACTAGCATTCCTGGATATCTTCATCAGCAGAGGAAACAATGGCAAATTAGAAATGTAATTCTATTGAAAAATAACCCACACTAACCAAGTGCTCCATTACTAAGCAACAATCTATCCTCATACAAGACGATCTGTATAAGAATGCTACACTGCAGCAGCACAGAACACCAGAAAAAGGAAACCTATACGATATCTTCCAACAAAATGGATACCCCTACAACTTTATCAAAAAGTACCTGACCACTCAAACTGCTATAATCCAACTAACACAAGCTATAAAAAGGATAACACTACCATACATCAAAAACATCTCAGAAACAACCAACAGACAATTATTAACGACACATCACCGTAGCACAAAAACCAAATAAACCCCTCCAAAATATCTTAAGTAAATGACCTAGGAGCCTAAGAAGACAAAACAGGAGCCATTTATAATATATAGTTATACGTACTAGTGCTATAGTTTAAGGAGTGTAAAAGCCACCAAGTGGCACAGAGAGGTAGAAAACTAGCAGAGTATCCATGAATACCAACTAGCTGTCAGAAGACATATGAAAACTCCTTAATCTCACAACACATAGTTACATTCAACCATAGCTTCAATTGGGAAACTGTGAGCATCCAAGGTAAATTCAAAAATGCTAAGGAATTCCTGGAAGACTGGGATTCAGACAAAGCAGCTATCAACAGACACACAGAAATAAACCATATTTACTCTCCATTAAAGAGACAGTGAGAAAGCGAAAAAGGAAATCAAAAGACCAGAACACATCCTCTTCAGCAGCCAACATCCAGATAAGCAGAGATTAGTACCTGGTAAACACTTATGCAGAGAACAATACCCTAATCAAGAAACTACCAAGGGGTAAAAAAACCCCACATATCCACCAAAACTGGTAGGGGAAGCTACTGAATATTAATTAGGGAGCAAATCCATACTCATTCACACTGATGATGTTACCCAGGAGGGTAATGAAACTTCTGCAACCAACCATGCTCAGAAAGCACCAAGAACTCCACAGTTCAACCCTGAACTACATACAGTCTCCTCTATTGGTACTACTGATGTATTTCAAATCACAAGGTTATGGTAAAAATAAAATAGTAGAACAGACTATAATTTCTGAGAATCGTAAGTGGAATTTCTATATAAACACTAAGAAGAGTTGAAGACCTAATTTAAAGCAATGGATTTGATAAGAATGGTTTCTGAGGAAAACAGGTTTGTAGCATAACTGCACAATATAACCTGTGATTCTAATTATTTTGCTGAAAAAAAATGACAAGTTCATTTATGAGGTGATTCTGAGTTGGGAAACTCTCTAACAATATTATATTGACCTTATTTGTTTAATGAAGCATTATATATTTTGGTCTGCTTGATTTAATCAAAAATATTTATAGTTCTGCACTTAAATTTTCTTCAGTTCTTAATTTGGTCGTTTATGCTGTGTAAAATGTGCATATTGTCCTCAATGTCCTTAATAGCATTTGAGATATTTTAATAGGCTAAACACCTAATTCAAAGCAATTATATAAAGAAAAAAATGAGAACATGATTGGAAAGAAACAGCTCATAAGTGAAAAAATATAAAAGAAAAAAACTAATATATTTTGCACTCAAATAGTAAAAATGGAAAACAAAAATCATTCTGAGAATTAGATCAAATTATAAGCAGTGGTGGGATTCAGCCAGTTCAGCAGAACTGGTAGCTAAATTTTTGTTGCCCAGGCCCAGAATGGACTTTGGGAAGCGGCATCCACAGAGAGAACCAGTTATTCATATATTTGAATCCCACCACTGATTATAAGGTAGTAGTTCTAAATCTACTTTATTGTGGTAGTTCTAAAATAAAATTGTAAAGTCTAAGACTCAAAACGCTTCCACTGTAAGGGATAAATATAAGTGCAAGGAGAGTAACTTAGAACAAATTCAAAATATTTCTGAACTAATCATAATCCTGTCTTCTCAACTGCAGGCAGGTTTAGAAAATCAGTCTTAGGGGCCATTAGAAATTACATTTTGGATATAAAATTACAAAATGGATCCAAAATGAAAGGCAAGGTTTTTTTTAGAGAATAAGGGGAATACTGGGAATATAATCTACTCAATTTTAGCAAAGTTTTTGATAATACCTCATCTGAGCCAAAGGCAGAGAAAGATATATGATATATGATATGATATAGCAATAGTAATAGCACTTAGACTTATATACCACTTCATAGTGCTTTACAGCCCTCTCTAAGCGGTGTACAGAGTCAGCATATTGCCCCCAAACATCTGGGTCCTCATTTTATCAACCTTGGAAGGCTGGAAGGCTGAGTCAACCTTGAGCTGGTGAGACTTGAACTGCCAAATTGCTGGCAGTCAGCAGAAGTAGCCTGCAGTACTGCCTTCTAACCACTGCGCCACCATGGCTCTTTATGAGCACCTGAAGGCAGCTCCAAAGCACCTGAAGGACAAGAAGTATTTGTATTTCTATTGAAGACAGTTGGAAGAAAAATACCCTTGTAGAATCTAAGCAGAGAATATGGGATTGACATTCAGATAGACAGAAAACAGTACAGGTAGTCCTTAATGTATGACTGGTAGCTAAGCAACTGAAGTTGCAACAGACATCTTGAGGGCTAATGACCCAAATTTAAGTTCTAATGGCTGCTCCCTATACTCCACACCCCCGCAGGAACAGGATTGTATTTTGGGTGCTTGGCTATTGGCACACATTTACAGCGCTCCCTGGTCATGTGACTACAATTATAATGGGGGTTTTTTTGATCGAGGACTACCTGTACTTCGGTAAGATTCTGTATACCTCACATAGAAAGCTCTTTTCCAAAGCCCAAATAGATTGTTTCCTAACAGAGTGGGGAGGCAGGGAATGCTAGGGTCCCCTCTCCTAAGGAGGTCCATCTAGTGGCACCCATGAAGAAGGGTCTTCTCTGTAGTGGCTCTCTCCCTGTGGAATATCTGCAGAAATGTCATGGCCCCCTCAGAGGCTGGTTCGCAGGAGGAGGACGACGAGTTGGAGCTGGGACCGTCTGACAGGGAAGGCGCACCGGGGCAGAGGACAATGCTGTCCCAAGCCCCTCAGGCATTGGGGGAGGTGGTTGACCAGACGGAGATCTGCCTGCCTGCCTGCACAGATACAGGGGAGAATTGGCTAATGACCAGCAGTGGTGCTGATAGGCAGCCAACCTCCTCTGATCAGGAACAGCTGCTTGCTCCACTCGATCCAAGGGCAAGGAGAGTGGAGCATAGGCAAGCCCAGAGAAGGGCTGCAAGGCTACTCAGGAGGAGGTCACCCCACCCCTCCTCA